TGTGTTATAGGTGGAGGAATAGGAGTTGTTTAAAGGAATTTGTGGAGGTGGTTTGACGTATGGAGATAGGTAAGAAGTTCCTAAACGAGGTAGCGCGAATGACGAAGGATTTACTAAAGAAAGTGGTTTTATGGGAGAGGAGAAGAAGAAATGTTTCAAGGACAATTTAAGGCATTAAGCTCTCTCTTTACATTTTTTTTTATGTCTACGGCAGTCGCTACAAAAAAATTGCGAGAAATATGCCAACTGCAAGTGGCAAGGCATTGGTGTTCGCTATTTTAAAGAGACCCCGAAAGCAAATAAATGCATGTATGAAAAGCAATTACTTTTTGGGTCTGAATGGTCGAATGCCCTGAAACTAAACATCAATTATACATCCCTGCGTGGAGTCTCAGGTGTCAGCGGACAGGTAAGAGAAGTTGAGTCCCTCTGTCGCAAATGCGGCAGAGAATCTAAAACACCAGCACATGTGCTTGGAAAATGCCCCAACAACTCCCTCCTTATAACACTTCGGCACCATAGGGTCAAGTTCGAGTTGATGAAAAGGAATTCACTATAAGGAGTCCTTATAGAAAAGGAATTCATCTGCTTTGGCGAGGCCTATTGCATTGACAGTGAAGGCTCTACAAGATATTGTGGCATTTACCAGGACATGAAGTACAGCGCTGATCTTTGATCCTACCGAGCAATGACTTCGATCAGGCAAGTGAAGTGGAAAGGGGAAAGAAGATCACATATGATAAATGTATTCCTTTCCTAAAAGAAAAGCTCAATCAGACCTTCGGAGAGAGAGAGTTCACCGTGAGAGGCCTCTGGTTTGGGTCTCGCGGAACAATTCCAAAAAGAACAAGGAGCTTCCTCGAGGAACTAGGTATCGACATTAAGGACGTAACGAGGTTGGCTGAAGATATAGTCCTCGACTCCCTGGGAATCATTCATCACCACGTGTATGGCTAGGTTGGGTGTTTTAAATAATGTATATATTTATATATTTATTGAAAAAGTTTTACACTTTTGTTTGTTGTTATTGTCATTCAGTTTATACTGAATAGTTTTAAGCATCTTAATACATATAGCATTAGTGAGAGATAAAGAGAGAGAAGGAAGAGAAAGGAAAATTAAATGGGGGAAAAAAAAGTGCTTCAACAAGAAAAAAAATTATTATATTCATATTTATTAACCACTTCTATAAGCAAACTTTATCAATTGTCTTAAAGATTAATCAGTATGCAAGATTAATATAATTGGGCTGCAAGCTTTTATATTTTATATGAAAATTAAGTGTTTCTCTCTCTCCGGAAAAATTACAAGTTCCATTTTCTTTTTTAATTTTCCATTTCCGTTTATTTAATTTAGCTTCCTAGACTAATCTTTTGGGATTCTATGCGATGCAGCTCTTTTTCCGATGACGGAATGCAGGGTTATAGGACAACCTCAACCTGGAGGACCAGTGTACTTGATTTTGGGGTGTCCTTCTAGTTAGGTTACTTCACCGAAATCCGAGGACTACGGCTGGCAGACCCATCTGTCTCCGAAGTACCATTTCCTGCACTCCGTTATGGTTACACCGCAATTGCTCTGTACAACCTCTGGTACTCAGGGAGCACCACGTGGAGGTAGAGATCAGATTTTAGTCCCTAAAAAAATACTTCTGTTTAAAATATATGAGTATCGCTACTCATGAATAACTGTGGACACATTAGGAAGGGGTGGCTGAGCGGGTTAACGCGTGTACACGGCACCACTAGCGGATCCAGGACTTAATTTTGGGGGGGGCTTCAGCCTGAAAGATTTTTTTCATATATGTAACGATAATTAATTTGAAAAAAAAAGAGAAAGAAATTAACTACCTATGTGAAATGTTGTTTAATTGGTTCTTGAAATCCTATTAAATGTAATTACACGAACAATAATACCTTAAGAGATAGTTTTTAATATTTTTTTCGGTAAAGTATTAGTTATAGTAAAGTATTATTAGTATTAGTTCGGTAAAGAGATTTCAATGCAAGATTAGGCAATAAAGAAGATGACAAACCAGCGGAAAGACGTTGAAAAGTGTCTATAAATGATAGTAGCCGACGGCTGACAAATGCTTGTAAAGAACTAGAAACGAAAATAGAATTCGCAAATACATGTAACGAATACAAGTATTTAATTTTCATTTATGATGAAGCGAGGAGATTGTGGAGTCGATTGAAATAATCAAAAAGAGTTGTAGTCTCTCCACTTCATTAAACTCAGCTGATGTAATCGCTGGCTAAATAACATCGGACATTGAGTCACCTACATCCGTGTGAAATTAAAACTTGATTTGAATATTGTGGCGGGCGGAAATTTTGAGATGAGATTTTTTTCTTCCGATTTCCGGCTAATACGTTAATTCTAAAAGTGTATACCGCATTTGTTATGCTCGGGAAATTGAACCGAATGACATCTTGAACGGGAAGATCGGACAAAGTTGTAAAATGAGTGTGTTTTACCTGTGTTTTAATCGGACAATGCGTTACAGTGTTTGGGATTTCGGATTTTACCTGTTGAGTTGTGATAATTTTTTATTACAATGGTACAACTTTTAAATGTGGTTGGTAGATTAGGTTGGGATGAGAATCGAAGTAAGTAACTGCCTAACTGGGATCTATTGACAAATTAAAATTATCTCTAAAGGGATTATATTAAAGGGATCTCTAGACAAATAGCCGAATAACAAAGTTTTTATTATGACTATTGCGAAACCTTGACTTTCATAAGCCTCTCCATAAAAAATTTCAAAACAATCCTCCCCACTCAATTTTATGAAATTAAATAAGGATTCCCCCTCCACAATACAAAAATAAGTTAAATAAATAATCCCCCTCCATCTCATCGATGGGTATATCTAGTGTTGTCCAAAATCTGCCTTGATCTTGCACTTTGCAAAACCAAGACCAACGCCACCTAACTGTTGCAAGACCAAGACCAGGACTGGTAAAAAAAATTGATTTTTTAAATACAAATTTTGGCAAAATAGTTACTAATACTTGACAATCTTAGTTACTATGTATTAATATTTGATATGACCAATATACTTTTCCCAAAACAACAACCAATATAATTTTGCATTTAACTCCTCTAATTTTTCATTCGGGCATAGTTAGGTTTCTCCTATCTAAAAAATTGCAGTAATATCTCTATTGTAATACGCTTATAAGTAACTGCAAGACTGTTGAGAGAGTCTTGCGCAAGACCAAGACCATTACCAAGACTGATTTTGGAAGACCAAGACTCGTCTCGGTCTCGCATTTGGGCAACATTAGGTATATCAACTAGTTGTAAAATATATTGTTCAAAGTATTATATTATTAAGATTAAGATAATAATTTAAAATTAAAATAAATCAGTTTTTATTATGTTATTATAATAAAAAAAATTAGTTTTGTTATTCTAATTGATCCGTTGAATTGTAAAAATTTTAAATGTGGCTAGCGGTAGAGTAGGTTGGAATGAAAATCGAAGTAAGTAACTGCCTAACTGGGATCTATTGAAAAATTAAAATTATCTCTAAAGGGATTATATTAAAAGGATCTCTAGACAAATAGCCGCATAACAAAGTTTTTATTATGAGTATTGCTAAACCTTGTCTTTCATAAGCTTCCCCATAAAAAATTTCAAAACAACCCTCTCCACTCATTTTTATGAAATTAAATAAGGATTCCCCTTGTGGACCCCTCTCCATTATGCAAAATCCATCTAAAAAAAAATTTCTAAAATTTTAACTGTACACCCGTAAATAACGGGTACATAAGCTAGTTGTAAAATAAATTGTTCAAAGTATTATATTATTGAGGTGAAGATAATAAATTAAAATTAAAATAAATTAGTTTTTTAATTTTTTTATTATAATTAAAAAAATTAAGTTTTGTTATTATAATTGATCAGTTGAATAGTAAAACTTTTAAATGTGGCTTGCAGTAGAGTAGGTTGGGATGAGAATCGAAGTAACTTCCTAACCGTGATCTCTTGACAAATTACTCTAGAATTCAAAACATTAGTTCTACTCAATATTTTATTTTTTAATTAAATAAGTCAAGCAAATCTAAATATAATGTCAAAATTACGAAAGTATACCAAATTCTGTTGGACAATGCGAACATACAGACAAACATTTTTTTAAAAGTGTATTTAGTGTCTGTAATGTATGAAAAGGATCGATATTATGAAACGGGTTGATTCTATTCAGTGAACAGACAAAAACTTTATTATATATATATATATATATATATATATATATATATATATATATATATATATATAGAGAGAGAGAGAGAGAGAGAGAGAGAGAGAGACAGAGTAAATTTAGGTATAGGTAACGTACAGGGTTATAATATTGTGTTATTGTTGAATGGAATTATTTCAAACATCCTCCCCCAATATTTGAAATGATTGACCACTATCCTATTAGTGTTGCCCAAAATCGGTCTTGGTCTTGCACTTTTCGAGACCAAGACCAAGGCCGCTTAACTGTTGCAAGACCAAGACCAGGACTGATAAAAAAATCAATTTTTTTAATAAAAATTAATCCAAAAAAAGTTACTAATACTTGGCAATCTTAGTTACTGTATGATAATAATTGATATAAATAATATAGTTTTGCATTCAACTCCTCTATTTTTTCATTCAGGCTTCGTTAGGTTTCTCCTATCTAAAAAAATACAGTAATATCTCTATAGTAATAAGCTAATAAGTAACTGCAAGACTGCTGCGAGAGTCTTGCGCAAGACCAAGACCATGACCAAGACTGAGTTTGCAAGAATAAGACTCGTCTCGGTCTCGCATTTGGGCAACACTATATGCTATAAACAAACAAAACCATCTAAGTTAAAACTCCGGGTGAGCCAGAAACCTCTTCAAGTGTCTGTCGCTCTGATTAGGATAATAATAACTGAGTCAGTTATATTATCAGTGCTACTTCTATTATTGATTTAATCATTCGCGATTGTTGCGATAAGGATAAGATGACTCACGTTATGAGGAAGGAGACGGGGACCAAGAAGGCGATGCCGGCCGGCAAGAGGTGCAGTCCCTTCGCCATGACATCCGTCACTGAGCGCTCCTCTCGATATCGCCTTATCTCAGCTATCGGAGAGTTCGGGCGAGTTCCTAAACTCATCGATGGGTCCATAAATCGAAGAAGATTATTAAGCAGTTTTTCAAATAATATATTTTAAAATACTAAAATAAAATATTTTTTTCTATTTTGCATTTTATGAAGTAAAACATAGAATAGATTATTTGAAACTGTATTTTCAAAATACAAAATAAATTTCAACTCTCTCAGGCCGAATTTTGATCCGACGTCACTATATTCGATAATGTTAAATTCACGCATTAAGTGTAAGCATGGCTTAGCCATCATGAATTCTAAACTGAAGTAAACCAATGTTTACAGAAAAAAGATCCAAACTAATATAAATTTAATATAAGGTAATATCGTTACTGTTTGTGCGAAAGGTCGTATGTAATAATTTTATTTTTATTCTCCTTGCGCTAAAGAGCTAAGTAGGCTGCTAAATAGGAAAATAGCAGAGGGAAATTAAGTATGCAATTATATTAATAAACCGTTAAGAAATAATCGGTTTTTAATGCATTTACTGTAAAAAAATGTAATTATTACATAGGACCTTTTGCACTAAATGTAGCAGTATGTCTTGTGGCACTTTAAAATACATGAAAATTATATAAAAGATCGCTTTATAAGCAATATCTTCTTCCGCTGATCATTCCTTGCGAAGTTTTACAAAGCATTGTTACAAATCGTGTTGTATAGTATTTTAAGAGTCGTGTATTTACGTTCAAATACAATTTGTTTTAATGTGATATTTTGCCTTGCATTGTCATTCAACGGTGTCATTTTGTGGTGTATTCTTTTTGTAGTAGGGTGAACTCTAATATTTTTGTAGTGTTTTGGGTCTTTTCATTGTATTTGTGTTGTATTATGTTTTTAATGTTTATTGTATTTATGTTTACTACAGTATTTTTGTGTTTTTTTGTTTCTTGTATTATAAAGAGTAGCCTCGTGTTGTGTTTTGTGTCGCGTTTAGCCGTTCTATGGCAAATTTTATTGTATTCTTATGAAATTTTATGTTGTTGTTTTTTTTTGTAGTTTTGTTTAGCTTTTATGTGTTTGTGTCCAATCATATTGTATTTTTTTAAATATTTTTGAATTGTATTTTTTATTGCTATTTTATATTGAATTTTTGCATTAGATGTTGTGAATTATGTTGTATTTTTTATTTGTATTGTATTTTTGTATAGTAATTTTGGAGTATTTTCTATTCTGTTGTATTGTGATGTATTTTGTATTTACATTATATTTTTGTTATGTTTTGGTATTGTATTTTTGTGTTGTATTTCTCTTGTATTATTGCATTGCGCTTTTGTGTTGTGCTGTTGTACTGTATTTTCATCTTATTTTTATATATTTTCACTATATTTTTTCACTGTATTTTTAAGTGGTATTTTTAGCACTGAATTTTAAAGGGTATTTTTATGTTCTGTCTTTCATTGTATTTTTGAGTTGTATCTTTTATTGTATTTCTGAGATGTATCTTTCATTGTATTTTTCTTGTGTTTATGTATTGCATTTTTGGAGGTGTTTTGTTGTGTATTTTGTACTGCATTGTGTGTTGTATTTTTGCATTGTACCTTTGTTGTATTTTTCAGCTGTATCTTTCATTGTATTTTTGATTAGTATCGATTTAAAGGAGAGTTAGGTTTATTTTTATGCATTTACGGTGTTTCTGTATCAATAAGTAAAAATGGAAGTTTCGAAAACGTACCTGATAAAAGTTTAACGTCATCAATCATTTTCTTATTTACTTTTTGCCATAAACTGACTTTTAAACTAGTTACAAATAAATATTTAGCCCATTAATAACCCCAGAATCAGAAGTGATAAGGAGTAAAGATATAAACAATAATAATATAACATGGTTTTAAAACCCTATAACTTAGGAATCTGATAAGAAGTCACCCATCTCTTAGTAATAGTAAACCAAAAATTATTACAATATGCTTTCTATTATTTACACATTAAGAAATTATAATTTTGTTGTTGTGAATTCAGATCAGAAACTAACTACCTTATGTTCTACAAAATTATGATTTGCTACAGTGGAAATTTACACCAGTTCATAAATATGTATTTCTATCGATGCAAATACTGATTCATTGTCTTATGCTTCTACATGCCACTGAGAATAAATTAAACACTTTGCCTCCGGTTTCGATTTATATTTGTGAATACTATTAGAATTTGATCAAATTTGATTTTGAATGGAAATGAAAAAAATATCAACAAACAACATTTACTCCTTAGCACTGTTATAAGACAATTTGTTATAAGACATAAGTTGTTACAAAAGTCCTTATGCACGAATATAGCTTTATTTCACATCACATATTTTAAACATTATTGAATAATACTTTTCAAAGCAAAGTCCATTGTTTTCAGCTACTTTCAGCCAGTAACTCGATTTGATTCTGGTATACCACTCCTTTGCTTTTGAGGCAAAGGACTCTTCACATCCAATTTTATGTCCATAATTATCAAAGATCCGACCTTTTAAAAAATCACCTAAGGATCTAAACCAGTAACTTTCCAAACTACAGCCTGCTGGTCGGATCAGGCCCACGAACGTTTCTATTATTAACTTAAAAATATAAAATTAAGCAAATTATTTACATTCGACCGCGGGACAAAAAGTTTGGTGACCCATAATCTAAACAAACCATAATCTGATGGTGTAATATCTGATCTATACGTAGGAGTAATGTTGCCCAAATACGAGACCGAGATGATTTTTTTTTCTTGGTCTTGCAAACTCAGTCTTGGTCATGGTCTTGGTCTTGCGCAAGAATTTCGCAATAGTCTTGCAGTTACTTATTAACTTATTATTATAGAGATATTACTGTAATTTGTTAGATAGGAGAAACTTAACTAAGCCCGAATGAAAAATTAGAGGATTTAAATGCAAAAGTATATTGGTTATACCAATTATTTACATATAGTAACTAATATTGTCAAATATTATTAACTATTTTGCCTTAATTTCTATTTAAAAATCGATTTTTTTTTACCAGTCCTTGTCTTGGTCTTGCCAAATGCAAGACCTTTTTTTATTTTATTATTTTATTTATTTATATTATATTTACAACTGTATATAATGACATGAAACACATGTTGAGAAACTATCCATTGGTAGCACTCTAATAATATGTCTATATTAGGTGATCCCCTGGCCATCTTCTTTTCAGACGCCTCGGAGAGTTATCAGGAATTGAATAGGAAGCAAGGTTAGAAACAAGAGGGTTGGGACGGTTATGAAGTTTATTATGGAAGGACAGATATCTGGATTGGGCCAAATCTGATACATAAGGAACATTAAGGTCATTATGGATGATTTTATTTGTAACAAAGTAAGGAGCATTGAGGATTTTACGAAGGATTTTGGATTGTAAGGATTGGATACGAGAGGAATTAGAAGGTTTGGTGGAACGCCATAGCTCAACTCCGTAAGTCCAAATAGGCCTTATTATAGTCATGTAAATGAGTCTTTTATAATTAATTTCTAAGGTTAGAGCGTTTGTCTAGTAAGTGTTGAAGTAGTCGGAAACGTCGAGCTGTTTCTTGTCGTTTCAGTCTGGTATGAGGATTCCAAGTTAGACGTTTGTCCAGATGGAGTCCTAGGTAACAATGCAAGACCAAGACCGATTTTGGCCAAAACTACGCAGGACGAGGCAAAACGTTTACTACTTGCAGTTCCGATAATTTTTCCTTGGTCACATGAGAACGATGTGCAGGGGCACTGTGGTGATCCAAAATGGCTTGGTTTCTGTTGACTAAAGCGGGGTACTTTACACTCAAAATTGCATAAAATCTGTTTAGCTGTTCACACAAGGTTGGAGTTCTCTGCCCGACCATCAAGAACAAGCTGAAAATGCAAAACGCTTTCTTTCATGAAGCACAAAATCGTATTTTTCCCGTACCGATCTTGGCGAACCTCCAGTTGTGCTGATTTAGCTGATCATACCAACTATTCATGTTTGCTAGGGTTTTTTTTAAATATACACTTTTTGTCCCTTGTGATTTTTTTTTTTTTTTTTCCAAAACCTGTCATCCTTCGAATTTCGATGCAAAGTTTTGCAAATATCAACTCACCGCTGGGGTTTGATGTACAAGGGCTTTTGTTACAACCTAGTAATAACAATTCATTAATTACTGCTCGTTTACAATTCAAGAAATACTATCCTAATCCTATTATACTTTATTTATTATGGATAATTTATTATTATTATGGTGTAGACGGACGAGTTCTAGAATGGTGAAGACCAAGTAAGCAATTAGCTCAGTGCAGTATAGTGGGAAGAGTGCAGTTCGAAGAAGGGTCGGTGTTGGTTTGGTGTGGAATATGTTTAAAATCAAGTACGGACCTCCATGTGTTCCGAAGGCCGAGGCTCAATGTACACACGTACATCACTGACATCCTCGAGAAATATGTGGTACTTTTTGGCTCATTTATCGCCCTCAGTTTCCTTTATATATAGGATAATGTTTGCCGGACTTCGAAAATGTTGTACAGGATTATCTAGATGGGGTTACTGTTAGCACCTTGAAGAGGTCAGCTCGCAGCCCGGACTTCAATCCTATTTAGCATCTTCGGAATCAGCCTAGGACATTGGGCAAAGCCATACCTAATTTTCTTTCACTTATATTATTAAAGCATAGAATCTTTATTCTGTAATTAATACAACATTTATTGGTATTTAAAAATTAATATTTTTTATAAACGAGACGCTTAAAAAGAAGATTTCCTGATCTCCTATCTCCAAAATATCAAAAATATGAAGAAAAAAAAAATAATTTACTCATATATTTATAATATTAAAAGTATTTGCTCATATATTTATTTCATAATATGTCGATCATGTAAATATTGACAGTTGTCAAAAGAAAATTTTAATAATAAACTAATCTAATTATTATTTTTTTGTTTATTTAATGAAATTTACAACTGTATATAAATACAACTAGTAAATATGCACAAATTAGGAATAATGACGTGAACAAGGTTGAAGAGATACAACCCAGTGGTAGCACTCCCTAAATAATTCTAGGTAAGAAGATCACGAGGCCATCTCCTTTTCAGACGCCAAGGAGGATTATCAGGAATCGGGGAAGAAGCAAGGGTGGAAACTATTAGATTCGGATGGGACTGGAATTTACCATGAATAGATAGATTTCTGGCTCGGGCTAAATCAGCGACATATGGTACATTAAGGTCTTTATGAATGGTTTGATTTGTGACAAAGTATGGAGCATTAAGGATTTTACGAAGGAAGGTGGAGCCCCAAAGCTGTCCATATAGGTCTTATTATAGTTATGTAGATAACTCTTTTGTAATTAGTCAAAAGTTTAGAGCGTTTGTCTAGTAAGTATTGGAACAGTCAGAAACGTTGAGCAGTATCTCATTGTTTCAGTTTAGTATGAGGATACTCTAGTTATGAAGTAGATCTATGCAATCTAGTAAAATCAGATAAAAACACCAAAAAGCCTTATAATCAGCTTGGATAAAATTATTGATAGCTTCTTTTTACCACTTTATTACCCTCACCCCAAAGTAATTCATTAAAAATATACTTTTTGTTGAAAATGTTATAATTATAAACTGTTTACTTCAATATCACACGATCCGTGAGGGTGAATATTGATACGTGGTCCTGCATTAACTATGTTCAAGTCGTCAACAAGATAAATAACAGATCAAAAGGTTGTAGTTAACAGTTCACCAAGATGAAGTGCCTTGTGATCTTGACGATAACTGCTCTCCTTCAAGCCTCCTTAGGTAATTGATGTAATTAATACATTAGAATTGTAAATAATAAAAATAACTATTATAATATAGGAACATTGGTAATTTATACTGCTGCCTAAGGAAAATCGTCTAGAATAGAATAATAAACATTTTACATTTAAAGCTTCCTAAACAAGGATATAATATTTAGAATAATACATTATTATTGAATTGGTTGTTTTAAAACTCATTATTTTTTCAAGTGGCCAGTTCATCACCTGCTGAAGGAGTAGCGGATGCAAAAGCAAGTGCAAATGCAGGCGCTGAAGCAAAAGGTGAGAGTGGAGGCTTTGGATCGGCAATCAGCGGACTTCTTTCGAAAATCGGTATAAATCTCGGTGGCTCTTCTGACGCTGGAGCCAAAGCTGGCGCCGAAGGTGACAAAGCAGGAGTAGAGGCTGGAGCTTCCGGAGCTGCTGAAGCAGCAGGGTCAGGTCCTGAAGGCAAAGCTGCAGCTCAGTCCGAAGCAGGAGCTTCTTCAGGAATCGAAGGTTCAGCTGGATCAGCGGGAGCCAAGAGTGAGGTAGGAGTCAAAGGAGAAGAAACCGAAGCGGCCGCCAAAGCTGGAGCCTCAGCCAAAACAGCCAAGTCACGATTTTACGGAGGAAGAGCATCATCTCAGTCTGGAGCCATGGCCGGAGGTTATGGAGGTTATGGAGGTTACGGGAGCGGTGGAGCAGCTGCTGCTTCCAATGCTAATGCTGGATATGGTGGATATGGAGGCTATGGTGGTTATGATGGATATGGTGGAGCTGCAGCCTCCAGCGGTGCAATGGCAGGAGGATATGGTTACTAAATTAATAATAACTAATAATGTTTTCTAATAAAGATATTCAATGAAAACATATTTTTTCTATCATTACCATTAATTAATAACTCTTTTTCCCCATACTCTATATTTAATTTATACTATCTATTTCTTATTACACCATAGTAGGCAAAATGTTACTAAAAAAACTTTCCTTAGTAAAAATGTGGGTTACAAAACATATTAACAGAAGTTGGAAAGCTGTTACATCCATGTTACTCAACTAAGGATAATATTGATACTATACCGAGTAGCCTACAAAGGACTTCATAAAATTCGTAAGCATCTTCTCAATCTTGCAAACACTAGTTGAACCTTTTATCATTTATTATTAAATTTTGTCGCGCCATTACAAAAAGTAACTAAGTACATTTATGATGGAGTTAATTAAGTTAAGAAATGAAGAAGCTAAGCATGCATGCATACAACTCACTAATACAAGCAAATCAAGTTCTAGTCGTGCTCATGGCTTAATTATGTTTAGTTCAACTTTTTCGACCCTTCACCATCCAATTCTATTCCTTTCGGCGATCTTTCTGATTGAAGTGCTTCTCTTCTATCCAAGGAGAACTGGGTTTGACCAATTAGTTTTTTCATCCGTACATTGGCATTCTCTCTTCATCTAGTGCCGAAAGAAGTCTTCTCGCAGTTGATATCAATAGATATACCTTCGACTAAGATCTGCACTGTCTGTATGGTCTAGTGGCTCATGGCAGAGTCATCCGATTCAATATTCTCTTCTGTTGATGCGAGCTATTTTGATTCCATGTCGGAGATTTATAGAGAGAGCGCCTAATCAAGAATACTCTCAGATGATTCCTTTATAAATTGTCAATATGACAGGGTATATGAGGCCCCAAAAGACGCCCTCGATGTAACAGAGTCCAGGGGGCAGAAACCATAGGGTCAGGGACCATGGGCCAAGGGCTAGGGTCACTCTACTTCACAAATATTCCAAGTGAAGGGTAACGATAAACTTTTTACTGATTCTTATTCCAAGATAGATGATAAATTTACTTCGACTTATCATTTGTCCATATATATCAAAATTAATAGGGTATGCCCTTTAAGTATAATACCTCAAAAGAAAGGACTGAGTCCTGGCAACCGCTATCCTCAACTTCTTTCTCTTGCACATTCCTCGAGGTTGGCACACTGGTCAGCTCACATATTTTAATTTAGCGCTGCTGTTCAAGGCCAATATAACGGCCAGAGAATGCATGGCGGAGAACCTCTCTCCTTCAGCACTCTCAGCAGCTCGCCGAATACCAATTTCCATAAGGTTGGACCTAGGACACAGTCCTGCATTCTCTTTCCACAGAATCTTCTACTTCAAAGAAGCTGCTGGTATCTTCAAGCTCCGATCCTGTAGCTTGTTTCTGAAGAGGTCATGTAAGTTGCTAGGAGATTTTGCAACTTCTAGGCCACCAAATGATATTGAGGACGAATGATATGTCCAATATGAAAAGGATAACATTATTATGTTCTGATAAGTAAGTAATCTCCGCCTTCTCTTCAACATCAAGACGCACTTTCAATATGTCTTAAATTTAGTCCATCCATATTGCCGTGGTTAGCTAGCTATTGAGATGAATAGCAGTGTATTGAGCTTGTCATTAGTACAGTCTTCAAAATTGTATTAATGATATAGTCGAGGCATGAAGGCCTATAATAAGATTTGGCTACTTGCTTGTCTTTATTTCATTACTTATAAAGGGGCTTAACGTTAGCAATATTTTGCTGCCTAGAATTTCAAGGTTAACGTGGTCCAACCAGTTCTTAGGCTGTTCACGGCAGCACTGAGATCCCATATGTCCCATTGTAGGAACAAGTACATACGGAGAAGACATACGGTTTCATGTTGTTGTTATTTAGGGCTTACATGCATAAAACTCCGAGGTCATCAACGCCTGTTATGTGTTTTATGTTTCTCTCATCTTCATTATCGGGGATAGGATTCCGCTATGAACCTCTTCGCCTCCAGAGTGTTTACTTGGGCTAATCAGCGTTTCAATCCAAAAATTATCCATAAGATACATGAAATGTGTTGAACTTCATCAAGCGTCCCCAACAATGCTTTTTCATGTTAAGTTATCATTAAGGAAGTATTAGCATGATCTCAACTTTTAGTTCATTGCTTTGAACATGTTAAGTTTTTAGTGTGATATGTCATATGTGTGCATGTTGTGTTATATGTGTATTGATATTTATGTTGATGTGTTGTCATATCATTATAATTATATTAGTTACTTTATTATTACTCTCAAATTGGCACTACAATCCATATAAGACCTAGGCCTCCATTAACAGCTTGCTTCATTCGACTCTAGTAGCCGAAATCGTAGCAAATATTCTCCAGCGGCATACAGCTAACGTCTTCAAGAATACCTCAACATCATAACAGTTGAGGTCTATCCCGTTTTTTTTTTTTTTTTTTTACAACATTATAATTATAAGATAATATATTATAAGAACGGAGAGCTACAAGATAAGTGGAACCCTGATCAACTGTGTTGAATTGATAAAATGCATACAGTATACTTTTCAGTTCAAGATACTACGTTTATTTAAAAATAGAGAGAGAAAATAAGACGAGATTATTGTAATAAATGCCAAAAAACAACAATTATTTTTCTCTTTTTATGTACAAACCATTGATCATAGTATCAAAGCAGATGGGGTAAAGAAGCAATCCCAATGAGTATAGAATAATAGTTTCCACAATGTTCTTTAGTTCTTTATTTCAACATATAGCTTTTCCAAAAACAGGCAAAGAATGCAGAATAGAAGAATGGCCAAAATCATATATATATATAATGAGAGTGGAAGGAAAAATGCGAAGGTGAAGGTTCAGAATGACTTGGGAAAGTTCAGTCTGAGAGGATTTCGATAGGAGAGGAATGAACTGGAGTAGACGCGGTCATTTAGTGCATGAACGAGATAAATGGATCAGGATCTATAAACAGGATCCTTTACACTGATCTGCGGTTGAAGGGGAATCGATTAAGAAGAGAAAAAGATATTTTTTCAAAAAATTACTTGTAAGAATGAAGAGTTTTCCCAATTACGAACCAATGAGTAAATTTTCTTTCACCAAATTTCTCTCCATGCTCTTTTAGCAAATATGAAATGCATTTATATAGTTTCCTTCCTTGTTTGCCTGTATGCTAAGGTCATGTTCCTGATAGTTCGTTTCGAATCTTATTATGGAGCCTACTGTCAGTGCTCCAACTCTTTGTTATAGTATTTATTGCTTTATACTTATTCATTATATTTATATTTTGTTCATTACTATTATTCACACTAAAAATAAAAAAACAAATATTATGGTGGAAATTCAGCTTATTTCTGTAAGCAATCGGTTTTATTAAAGAAGGGAAAAATCCATTATTTGGGATTTTGTTACCATAGGACTAAGAAACTTCTAATAAAACTACCTTCATAAAATTTAACTTTAAATGCAAATGAAAATTATATTCGTTATTGAAAAAAAAAAACTATTTTCGAGGAATTTATTTATTAAATAATTATGCATATAAGTAATATTTGTGCATAGCAATCATTTAGTAACCATATCCTCCCGCCATTGCACCACTGGAGGCTGCAGATTCACCATATCCACCATAACCACCATATCCACCATAGCCGCCATACCCAGCATTAGCATTGGAAGCAGCACCGGCTGCTCCACCGCCCCCGTAACCTCCTTGACCTCCATAACCTCCAGCCATGGCTCCAGACTGAGATGAAGCTCTTCCTCCGTAAAATCGGGACTTGGCTGTTTTGGCTGAGGCTTCAGCTTTGGCGGCCGCACTACTTTCGTCTCCTTTGACTCCTACCTCACTCTTGGCTCCGGCTGATCCAACTGAACCTTCGACTCCTGAAGACGCAGCTGCTTCTGACTGAGCTGCAACCTTGTCATCAGCGCCACCAGACTCTAATTCTGCTGCTGATTTTGCCTTAGCTTCAGTAGGGAATGCACTTGTGAAGTCAGGGCCTGGAATAATAATTATCATAAAAAAATGACTAATAATTAATAACAATGGAAAAAAATAGTATAGTAAATATCAAACTTAGTTAGATAACAATAACATTAATAATACAGCACCCAGTCATTGCTGGCTTATTAAGTAAACCTCTAATATCAGCAGTACCAGATCCAGGATTTAATTTTTGGGGAAAGCTTTTTTTTCATAAAAATAACGATAATTTCTTTGGAAAAAATGAAAGAAACTAACTACCTATATGAAATGGTGTTTAAGTGATTCCTAAAGTCCTTTTAAATATAATTAAACGAACAATAACACTTTAAGAGATAATGTTTTAATATTTTTTCCATAAAACATGGTTATATTTTACAATTTTGGCGGGGGGTTCTTCAACCCCAAATCCCTCCCGTAGATCCGCCCGTGAATATGAGTACTTATGGTACATATAGAGAACCTCGTCGAGAAAATATCTGACATATTGGCATAACATGATCACACCGTATATGAAATTTCAGATATTTCCAAATGATGCTTGAGTCCACCCGAATTAATGAATGAAACACTTTATATTCCGAAATCCTGAAAATTCTCAAATTACGGGTACACTATGCTATGATGAAGCCAGTTCTGATATATGGACGTGAGACCTGGACAATAACCAGCCACTTACAAAAAAGTATTAAAAGATTTGAGATAAAAATACTCCTCACCATAACCGGAGCGAGTTAAGAGTATCTCGGTTCATAGTACTAACTCATGAGGAATAAAGAGTTGCATATAAAAACTGACCAATCAATATCTCATGATATGAAGGCACAGAGGTTAAGATGGACGGGGCATGTAGCTCGAACCAATCCATCTAATAGCCTCCACACGGGAATGAAAGACCTCAATAGTAAGACCAAAGAGCAAATGAAAAGCCAAGAAGTAGATGGATAGATAGAATCAACAAAGATTCAATAGAGCTGCATGCAGATAGAAAGAATAGCTTAAGATAAACAACGTTTGTGATACCAACAGAAAAAAACAAAACAACGCCATACATTGTAAAATTTAAATTGAAATGGAGACATTGTTTACAGGTCCTACCATGTACTTTTTCGAACCATGGAGTATTTTAATTACCATAAAAATATATAGGAAGAATTAAAAAAAAACAAGTGCAACACGAGTGAATAAGCAATAGTTTTTTTTGTGGCATTAAGATTTTAATCAAACTCTTATTTTGCTAAATAATTATATAAAAAATTAGTTTTATAACTCCGACCCTAACGACATTATACACAGCCGACTATTCCTACATCATTAGAAATTCTTTAATACAAGTATAAATCATTTTGGTATAAAAGAAGTTCTTATAACAAGTACTAGACAATTTGTTTTTAATTCCAGAAAAACGTAATAAATATGAAACTTCATATATAGTTTTTAATTTTTTTTTGCATACATATAAATTATTATTACCTAGAGAGGTCTGAAGAAAAGCAGCAACAGCCAAGATTACTAGACACTTCATATTGATGAACTGTCACCTACAACCTTTGCCCCCCTTTTATACCTGGCAGCTGTATTCAGTTAGCGATGCAAAAGCACGTTGTAATTCATCCACACGGAGCTTATGAAATTAAAGTAAACAATAAATTATTAAATATGTTCGCCTCACATTAAATATATTGCTCAACAGCAGCGCCATCAAGAAGCTGAGACCCATGTTGAAAACTATTACTGCTTGAACCATTGGAAGCCATTATTGACATCACAAAAATATCTTTGAGAGGTCATTCTTAACAGATTTTGTTTATTTATTTTATTTCCCTTAGTTCGCAAACGAAAAAGTAAGGAGTGGACCATACCTGAGGTTTGCAGTAGCAAGAGTGAATAACGACGACTCAAACACCGTTTATATGTTTTAAAGGTATACAGATTAAGTCAAGTGTTTAGAGATTAGTATTTAGTCAGTGTTCAGTAACCAAATAGAAGTGAATACATTATATTTTGCAGATTTAGTACAGTGTCTTAAGCATTCTCAATGGGTTGAACTTCTTTGTACATGATTGTATTTCTCAGTGTTTACATTTACTGTATAACCAGATTGTCCCTTAAATGACCAGAATTATTTAACGAGATGATAGCAGAACTCGAAGAGCAACATATGATTTTCCACGGCAGGGGTGTCCATCCGCCCAAAGGTCGGTGGCGCAAGAAGCTACCCACTCCCCTTCTCCCAAGATATTTTTTTCTTCACCTTTCTTAAAAACAGATCAAGAAAAAAGATCACATATAAATACAGTTACTGCGGTTAGTTCCATGTGTAACCCTTGTCCATTAGTTGGAATATTCATAACCCCGTCGAAATTCGATCCCTCAAAAATGTTGGTGGCGCAACTTGCGGTAATTAAATTAAAAACAAAACAAAAAAAAAAAAAAATCATCGGAATCGAACCAATCGGTCTGTCTGTCTAACTGTGCCAAGATTTTCTCGGGAACAACTGAAACGATTTTGTTGCTTCTTATAGTGCGAAAGCGGCTCGATTTTGATTTTCCTAACTTATATAGACTTAATTTCTGAAAAAAATATAGGAAAAAAAGTTATAAAGAAAAGAAAAATGTTATGAGGCCTAACTCTCTAAATATATATTATACGGTAAAATCTATAATAAAACTTTTGAAAGGTAATTAAATTACCAACAAATAAAAAATAAAAAATGTTCGGAATCGAACCAGTATTAGCGATGATACAGCTTATTCTAGTTTCTACATGTTTTTATTTATTATTTTCCTACCTTCTTTCCTACTAGAAAAGGAAAGTATTGCGATCGAATCAAATTTCTGATACGCGGTTTTCGACGGATCTGTACTTTTCAGAGCCCGCTGAGTTCGAAAAACATATTTTTATCCATTGCTCTGTCTGTCTGTGCCAAGATTTTCTCAGGAACTAGTGAACCGATTTTGTAGCTTCTTTGTAGGGTTTCGACTACTGATGCAAATTGGATGCTCATGCGCAATAGCAATGAAATTCCTACAAAACTATATAAAAATCGTTCATTTCAGACAACTATTAACGAATTTACAGCTATTCAATTTCCAATGTAAGTTTACGAGTTCATAACATAGTATCAGGAAGGGGTGAATGAGAGAAAAATGATAACTAAGTGAAAGTAAGAAAATCTGTAGCCTGCATCACACAAGCTTCACTATTTCCTCTACTTTTAACAAAAATTATTGTTTGACAAAATTAGGCTATGTCAAAAAGGTTTTGATCGGCAATATTAGAGGGTATTAAAACTTTTACACTGAATTACCTTAAGCCGATTTTCATTGATTTAGATTGATTAGATAGACAAATAAATCGTACTCAAATCTTTTCTTTAGTCAATTTTCAGAAAAATAAATCTAATTATATTTTTTTTTGTTTCTTGATGGACATATATAAAGACATAAAAACTTTTCTGAAATAGGTAGGAAAGTCGTGTGAGTGGATACAACATATTTTTTTAAACGATGGTTCGTGAATGTTTTTATCACCCTCTATTTGATTCATATTTTTAGGAAAATTTGCTTGTTTTATAAAGTTTAAGTCCACGTGAATTAAGCTGCTGTCAGAAACAGACATGTCTCCAATTTCATAAAATAAATATGAAATTCTGCCCTCTTCAAAGTATTTTAAAGAGTTTACACCGAAAATAATTAATACCATTTCGTTACTCGAGGGAGGCTCATCTTGAGTATTGGTGTGATGCCCGAAGATTTCAGACAATTTGCGAAATCAAGGATGAAATTAGTATGTTTGCTGATATTTCAGGCATTCATGTAAGTAAATAAAAGCTACCCAAAGAATATCAAGCGATTCTTGAGGGAAAAGTCGTTTAGAAATTGGAGCAAATGCAAGTGGCAAGGAATAATAGTGTCCCATTTTAATTAAAACTAATGACTCAATAATATTACAGGAAGATTTTCACTGGCTCAGATTCGACCGATGCTCTGAAGTTATATGGTAGCCATGTTCCTCTTCTTGGAGTATCAAAAGAAGTTGGACAGATAGGCCACGAATTAGGAAACTCCCAAATATATATTAGTGAATAATAGTATAATATATAATATTGAATAATAATATGTGTATAATAATGGTACATAATACAGAATAATAACATGATATATAATACGATAATAATAATTAAAAAAAATAGTACGATACGTTACACAACTTTTACTTACCACCCTACTTTCAGTAAACATCGTTTTTTTTATTTAAAGTTCGGATTCGAAATTGGAACCTTGAGCTCTGGAAGTCAGTGCTCATCCACTGAGCTACCCAATTGGCTGATTTATAATTTTATAATTATAACTAGATTATAATTTTATAATTGAGCTGATGAACTTGAGGCGAATAAAATGGGCATGTAAATTCGTTGGGATTAGTAACGAAAGAATTGCTAAAAAGTTAATATGGGCTGTACCGACTGGCAAGCTTCCGAGGACTAGACCAAAGCGAATGTAGATAGATTGCGTTAAGTCTGATTTGGCGGGGTTGGGTTTAGACGGAGCCCGGTGGATGGAAGAATATGGACATCGATTAGAGGTATCGGCATCAAACCTTCGGGTTCGCCAAGCCTTCTTATTATTATCATTAGTTACGAAAAGAACCATCCGAATTAGGACTTCAACATAGAGACAGAGAAATATGACTGTATGAAGAGGAGACATTTACACTTGAAGGCACAAGCGGATCCAGGATTTAATTTGGGGGGAGGCTTCAGCCCGAAACCTTTTTTTTTCATAAAAATAACGATAATTACTTTGGAAAAACAGACAGAAACCTACCTATATGAAATGGTGTTTAACTTATTCCTTAAGTACTTTTAAATGTAATTACATGAAAAATATTACTTTAAGAGGTATTTAAAAAAAAAATTTCCCATAAAACATGGTTATATTTTTGCATTTTTGGGGGGGGGGGGCTTCAGCCCGAAAGCCCCCCCCCTCCCCGTAGATCCGCCCGTGCTTGAAGGGCTTTGAGAAGTAGAGGAACCACTCCTCTCACAATTTTTTTTTTTATGATCCTCTGGTTGTTGAAAAAAATTTAACTTCAGAACATGGCCACAAACCTCACTTTTTTTTTACAATGTGTTTGTATTTCATTTTATTTAATTTGAAACCGATATAAGTATTATTTTAATGTATTACAAAAACAGCCATTATTTATTTTATTTAAGTTTTTTAACATTGTTTATCGCACGTATGTATTTTTGATGAGTGCACATTTTTATATGCTTAGGAATTTTTGGAGGAAACCATATTTTTGTGGGATTTCGATTTTAAGGCACTCTCAAGACTAGGAAAATGTAGATTGTAATATTTATCGTATTTTATTCACTTGCGCTGTTTCTAAGAAGAGGAAAGCAGTAGAATTTCTTAGAAATAGGGCATATGCCATCACTGAGAGTTAAGGTATGAACAAGGTTGCTCTTCCGACAATATACTGAAGTATATTCAAACAGAAAGTTTTTGTTGTTTTATTGTTCTTTTTAGTTGATTAAGCCGTACTTGAAATACTTAATTTAAGATGTTGCCACTGCAGTTAGGTTCTTTTCTTTATTCTTCTTTTTTCTTTCTAACCCCCCAAAATTTTTATTTAATCAAATTACATATATAGTATTAAATTACATAACGATACAATATATACAAGTAACAAATCCCTTCCACACCCTAGGGCATTCTAAGGATTGGGGATAGCTAATGGTAACATATGTGGCAGAAGGCCTTCATGACTTTCATTGAACGGGGAGGGACCGTTCTGCTAATTATTTATTATTTACAATATATACACATTAAAGGGTTTGGACCGCAGAGACCAGACCACATCCTTCGGCGAGTATGTCCACCAAAGGGAGTTTACTTTGCCACCTCCCAGGTCTGGGTGGTGGTGAGATCTCATTGAACAGTGGGTTTGCACAGGCCTTCAGCCCATCAAGAAATTTGATGTGCCTCCGCCCTATGAACTCAGGTACCGAGGGGAGCTGGAGCTCCTCGCGTATTGTTTGATTCTTAGCCCTTTGTAGGGTGGTGCCACGGGACCGTAGATAGGAATACAAAACGACAACTATAAATTTCGTATAAGTAAAATTGAAGTGGGAAGGAACAGTCGTTAGTAAATCAATGTTTGATAAAAATAAAATGTAAACTTTTTTCATTGGAAACCTTTATTTTAAAATGTGATCGTGCAGTAACTTAGTAACCATATCCTCCCGCCATTGCACCGCTGGAAGCTGCAGCTCCACCATATCCACCATAACCTCCATAACCACCTCGATATCCTCCATATCCAGCGTTAGCACTGGAAGCAGCACCGGCTGCCCCACCGCCTCCGTAACCTCCATAACCTCCGGCCACGGCTCCAGACTGTGAAGATGCTCTTCCTCCATAAAATCGGGACTTGGCTGTTTTGGCTGAGGCTTCAGCTTTGGCGGCTGCACTACTTTCATCTCCTTTGACTCCTACCTCACTCTTGGCTCCGGCTGATCCAGCTGAACCTTCGACTCCTGAAGACGCTGCTGCTTCGGATTGAGCTGCAGCCTTGCCATCTGCACCATCTGATTCTAATGCTGCTGCTGCCTT